CTCTTAGCTTGTATCGAACTACGGACAGCTCGACTTTTACCCGACGGTCACCTGGTACATCCGACTGTACTTCGCTGTGGTTTAATATTGACACTTCGCTTGTATCGAACTACGGTCACCTGGTACATCCGACTGTACTTCGCTGTGGTTTAATATTGACACTTCGCTTGTATCGAACTACGGAAGGCTCGACTTCTATCCGACGGTCACCTGGTACATCCGACTGTACTTCACTGTGGTTTAATATTGATACTTCACTTGTATCGAACTACGGAAGGCTCGACTTCTATCCGACGGTCACCTGGTACATCCGACTGTACTTCACTGTGGTTTAATATTGATACTTCACTTGTATCGAACTACGGACAGCTCGACTTCTACCCGGCGGTCACCTGGTACATCCGACTGTACTTCGCTGTGGTTTAATATTGACACTTCGCTTGTATCGAACTACGGACAGCTCGACTTCTACCCGACGGTCACCTGGTACATTCGACTGTACTTCGCTGTGGTTTAATATTGACACTTCGCTTGTATCGAACTTCGGACAGCTCGACTTCTACCCGACGGTCACCTAGTACATCCGACTGTTCTTCGCTGTGGTTTAATATTGATACTTCGCTTGTATCCAACTACGGACAGCTCAACTTCTATCCGACGGTCACCTGGTACATCCGACTGTACTTCGCTGTGGTTTAATATTGACACTTCGCTTGTATCGAACTACGGACAGCTCGACTTTTACCCGACGGTCACCTAGCACATACGACTGTACTTCGCTGTGGTTTAATATTGACACTTCGCTTGTATCGAACTACGGACAGCTCGACTTCTACCCGACGGTCACCTAGTACATACGACTGTACTTCGCTGTGGTTTAATATTGACACTTCGCTTGTATCGAACTATGGACAGCTCGACTTCTATCCGACGGTCAGTTGGTACATCCGACTGTACTTCTCTGTGGTTTAATATTGACACTTCGCTTGTATCGAACTACGGACAGCTCGACTTCTACCCGACGGTCACCTGGTACATCCGACTGTACTTCGCTGTGGTTTAATATTGACACTTCGCTTGTATCGAACTATGGACAGCTCGACTTCTATCCGACGGTCACCTGGTACATCCGACTGTACTTCGCTGTGGTTTAATATTGACACTTCGCTTGTATCGAACTACGGACAGCTCGACTTCTACCCGACGGTCACCTCGTACATCCGACTGTACTTCGCTGTGGTTTAATATTGACACTTCGCTTGTATCGAACTTCGGACAGCTCAACTTCTACCCGACGGTCATCTGGTACATCCGACTGTACTTCGCTGTGGTTTGATATTGACACTTCGCTTGTATCGAACTACGGACAGCTCGACTTCTATCCGACGGTCACCTGGTACATCTGACTGTTCTTCGCTGTGGTTTAATATTGGCATTTCTTTTGTATCCAACTACGGACAGCTCGACTTCTATCCGACGGTCACCTGGTACATCCGACTGTACTTCGCTGTGGTTTAATATTGACACTTCGCTTGTATCGAACTTCGGACAGCTCAACTTCTACCCGACGGTCACCTGGTACATCCGACTGTACTTCTCTGTGGTTTAATATTGACACTTCGCTTGTATCGAACTACGGACAGTTCGACTTCTACCCGACGGTCACCTGGTACATCCGACTGTACTTCGCTGTGATTTAATATTGACACTTCGCTTGTATCGAACTACGGACAGCTCGATTTCTATCCGACAGTCACCTGGTACATTCGACTGTACTTCGCTGTGGTTAAATATTGACACTTCGCTTGTATCGAACTATGGACAGCTCAACTTCTACCCGACGGTCACCTGGTACATCCGACTGTACTTCGCTGTGGTTTAATATTGACACTTCGCTTGTATCGAACTACGGACAGCTCGACTTCTATCCGACGGTCACCTGGTACATCTGACTGTTCTTCGCTGTGGTTTAATATTGGCATTTCTTTTGTATCCAACTACGGACAGCTCGACTTCTATCCGACGGTCACCTGGTACATCCGACTGTACTTCGCTGTGGTTTAATATTGACACTTCGCTTGTATCGAACTTCGGAAAGCTCGACTTCTACCCAACAGTCACCTGGTACATCCGACTGTACTTCGCGGTGGTTTAATATTGACACTTCGCTTGTATCGAACTACGGACAGCTCGACTTCTACCCGACGGTCACCTGGTACATCCGACTGTACTTCGCTGTGGTTTAATATTGACACTCCGCTTGTATCGAACTACGGACAGCTCGACGTCTACCCGACGGTCAGTTGGTACATCCGACTGTACTTCGCTGTGGTTTAATATTGACACTTCGCTTGTATCGAACTACGGACAGCTCGACTTCTATCCGACGGTCACCTGGTACATCCGACTGCACTTCACTGTCAATAATTACCTACACTGACAGACAGTTTTTGGTTTTACTAAATAAAAAATGAATCATGGTTGGACTATCAAATGCCTTCACGGTTACCGTGATGTTAGCGCCACCTGTCGGCGTGTGTGTAACACTCGCGCGTCCAAGTTCAAAGGATGTGATTTAACACCACAAAGCGTTGAGAGAGCATCCACTTTACTGCATCATTAACCTTGAGAAATCTATCCTCTGGGTTCCAGTTGCCTGTTTAATGAGATGGACGGCAGACCCGTCTCGAGCGACGATAGAGCACCCTACTACAGGATGACGGACTGGCGCTAGTGGCGCTTGGGCAACTGTTGGAAAAGTGTCTTCACGAACCATGTTGGTCTTACATTACTGATAAAGCATGTGGTATATAATCGTGAAACTGTGACACAGAGACGGTTAACAAGTGCAGACTTCATCATTATAACGTTATCCCTGGCGTATGACCTTACAAACAAATGTCTCAACAATCACATAAGAAACCGCCATTTCCTGTAATATCTCTGGCATTTCACCACAACTGTCCGATAGCGGGGTCATGCAGGTATTGTGTGACGTCAGCTGTAGGATAGCGGGGTCATGCAGGTATTGTGTGACGTCAGCTGTAGGATAGCGGGATTATGAAGGTATTGTGTGACGTCAGCTGTAGGACAGTGGGATCTCACAGGTATTGTGTGACGCCAGCTGTAGGATAGTGGGATCTCGCAGGTAGTGTGTGACGTCAGCTGTAGGACAGTGGGATCTCGCAGGTAGTGTGTGACGTCAGCTGTAGGATAGCGGGATCATGCAGGTATTGTGTGACGTCAGCTGTAGGATAGCGGGATCATGCAGGGATTGTTTGACGTCAGCTGTAGGATAGCGGGATTATGAAGGTATTGTGTGACGTCAGCTGTAGGACAGTGGGACCTCACAGGTATTGTGTGACGCCAGCTGTAGGATAGTGGGATCTCGCAGGTAGTGTGTGACGTCAGCTGTAGGACAGTGGGATCTCGCAGGTAGTGTGTGACGTCAGCTGTAGGATAGCAGGATCATGCAGGGATTGTGTGACGTCAGCTGTAGGATAGCGGGATCATGCAGGGATTGTTTGACGTCAGCTGTAGGATAGCGGGATTATGAAGGTATTGTGTGACGTCAGCTGTAGGACAGTGGGATCTCACAGGTATTGTGTGACGTCAGCTGTAGGATAGTGGGATCTCGCAGGTAGTGTGTGACGTCAGCTGTAGGACAGTGGGATCTCGCAGGTAGTGTGTGACGTCAGCTGTAGGATAGCGGCATCATGCAGGTAGTGTGTGACGTCAGCTGTAGGATAGTGGGATCTCGCATGTATTGTGTGACGTCAGCTGTAGGATAACGGCATCATGCAGGTAGTGTGTGACGTCAGCTGTAGGATAGCGGGGTCATGCAGGTATTATGTGACGTCAGCTGTAGGACAATGGGATCTCGCAGGTATTGTGTGACGTCAGCTGTAGGATAGCGGCATCATGCAGGTAGTGTGTGACGTCAGCTGTAGGATAGCGGCATCATGCAGGTAGTGTGTGACGTCAGCTGTAGGATAGTGGGACCTCGCATGTATTGTGTGACGTCAGCTGTAGGATAGCGGCATCATGCAGGTAGTGTGTGACGTAAGCTGTAGGATAGTGGGATCTCGCAGGTATTGTGTGACGTCAGCTGTAGGATAGCGGGGTCATGCAGGTATTATGTGACGTCAGCTGTAGGACAATGGGATCTCGCAGGTATTGTGTGACGTCAGCTGTAGGATAACGGCATCATGCAGGTAGTGTGTGACGTCAGCTGTAGGATAGCGGCATCATGCAGGTATTGTGTGACGTCAGCTGTAGGATAGCGGCATCATGCAGGTAGTGTGTGATGTCAGCTGTAGGACAGTGGGATCTCGCAGGTATTGTGTGACGTCAGCCAGCTGTAGGACAGTGGGATCTCGCAGGTATTGTGTGACGTCAGCTGTCGGATAGCGGGATCTCGCAGGTATTGTGTGACGTCAGCTGTCGGATAGCGGGATCATGCAGGTATTGTGTGACGTCAGCTGTAGGATAGCGGGATCTGATGTGTGAAGCCCATTTCTGGTATCACCCGCCGTGATATGTTGGAATATTGCTATACACATGCATGACTTTTGCCATCTTTTTTCTGACACACAGAGAACCGGGGTGATTTGTATTTTGTGTTTCCCACGTTACTTTCCACCGTGTCGGGTCATGTTTTCGGTGTGGACTGAACAAAACAATTTTAAACTAACAATCACTTTAAAACATTTGCCAGTGCCAGATATTTACTATTCAAACGACCGTTGTCAATAACGGTCGCTATTTGCCGGGAAAGTCTTAGGTTCGCTTGAAGGTAAACATATTCATATATGGTCAATGATTGGTCAACAAATATGTATTTTGTAAATAATTAATTAATGTATTTATCATAAACCATACCTGCCGCAATAGAAACACCCCCCACAGCTGATACTAGCAGCCCCTTGACACTCGCGCTTAAATACTTCCGCGCAATGACCTATTTTTTCATCCATTTAATAATCAGTCCGCGGCGCGTGCGCGGTTGACGAGGCGGAATACAGGAGACACGCGATCTCGGAGCGGGCTGCGGCAAAACATTAACCGTTCGCCATGGGCAACCCAAGGCAGCTTGATGTGGCCCTGATCCGAGCAATCATGGACCATCCAGTATTCTACGATAAAAACTCCTGGGGCTACAACGATATCGACGCCAAGGAAAAACTATGGACGGAGATCGCGGCCAATCTAAACCTGGAAGGTGAGAGGCTAACTGGGTCACAGCGACCCAAAGCAACACGCACTACTTGTTTGTTTGCGTCAGTGAAAACATTGCTGTGTCCCACGTGCTTTTAAACACAGCATGTCTGCATGACCCAATATATTTTCCCCTTAACATCAAGATGATGTTGTTACCATGTTGGTTACGCTATAATTGAGACTGGGGGCTTGGCGAGCGGGCAATGTAGGAAGCCACGGCGAGCTGCGTAATAGTAGACACGTCTACAGTCCAAACTGCATTACAGCGAGTTGCATTTTCCAAACAACTCAAAGGTTAACCCCGAAATGACGCATGTCTCGAGGAAACCTGTGAATGAATTTCACATGGACTTGGAAAGACGTAGCAACGCCTATCGATCAAAAGCATGCTAGGAGCAGGTCGGGGCTAATCACGGGGATTGCGGGCACGGCAGTCACGTGACCTGTGTTTGCGTGTCCTCAGCGGGGAATCCCCTCCAGTAATAGCCGGGTCGTGTGCAGCGAGTTAGCCATTGTTTCGTGTAAAATGTTTTATGTTTTGGTGAAGAACTGAATGTGTATTTTTCTGTATAATAAATTGTTCATAACTCGATTTCTTGAAATAACACTGATACACTTTTCAAGCCGTTTACTCGTACTCTAAATAGCAGTTATACATTCGTTTAGTTGTGGGACTGTATTGATTATTGATTCAGATATACATCAAACCCAACAAAACACATTTATATTTCCTTCTCGCCTGCACGTTGGTCATTACAATTTTATTTTTTTCCGGGAATGTTCCAGGTTAAACTTAAACTCCAGCGTCCTGGTTGATTGGGTGGCATTGTGCACCGACAACGACCTCGTCTACGGAGATCCTGGTTCATAAATGTCAAGCACTGAGTTGTCTAGTCAATTTTTTACAGGCCGTCCGACGTATAACTGGAATATTGTTGAGCGTGGCGTTCAGCAGCACACACTACTGTCATATATCGAACTCAAAGGGACAACTAATTTTCGTTCGTAATAACCGCAGTTTGTTATAAGCATATATACAGCATATATAAAATAAATGTGAGGGGCTAGAAAATAATTTCGTTATAAGCGTGTTCGTTATAAACGTAGTTTACTGTACAAACAAACAAATTCAGTGATGTTTATGTTGCAGTCGACGCTTGTCGAGCTCGCTGGAAAAACCTCCGAGACACCTTCGTGAAGAGTCGCAGGAAGAAACCCCAGTTCAGGAGAGTCGGCACCAAGTTTGTGCGACAGACTCGGGTTAACCGATGGCGATACACTGACGAGATGGCGTTCCTTGTCCCCTACCTCAACCTCCGGGACCCCGAGTGAGTAGACCCAACTAATGAGTCGACCCAAGATAGTGAGTAGATCCAAGCTAGTGAGTCGACCCAAGATAGTGAGTAGATCCAAGCTAGTGAGTCGACCTATGATAGTGAGTAGATCCAAGCTAGTGAGTCGACCCAAGATAGTGAGTAGATCCAAGCTAGTGAGTCGATCAAAGATAGTGAGTAGACCCAAGCTAGTGAGTCGACCCAAGATAGTAAGTCGACCCAAGATAGTGAGTAGATCCAAGCTAACGATTAGATCCAAGATAGTGAGTCGATCAAAGATAGTAGGTAGACCCAAGCTAGTGAGTAGACCCAAGATAGTAAGTCGACCCAAGATAGTGAGTAGATCCAAGATAGTGAGTCGACCCAAGATAGTGAGTAGATCCAAGATAGTGAGTCGATCAAAGATAGTGAGTAGACCCAAGATAGTGAGTCGACCCAAGATAGTAAGTCGACCCAAGATAGTGAGTAGATCCAAGCTAACGATTAGATCCAAGATAGTGAGTCGATCAAAGATAGTGAGTAGACCCGAACTAGTGAGTCGACCCAAGATAGTGAGTCGACCAAAGTCGACTCACTCAGTTTATATCACCGTCACCTGGAGGGAAGCCCAGGGAAGCGCATGTCGAGAAGGGTTACTGAAACACCAATGCTCATACTGTGGAGATTCGAATTTGCCACCGGCGGATCCTGACACGACTAGGGGACGTAACACTCCACCTCCATTTTCGATGTTCTAGACTAGTTTGCCACTCTGTTCCCTCAAGTTGGAGTAGAATTAAACTGTTCTTATCCATACATGTCTCCGTCCCTGTTATCAACACCTGTCGCCTGTCTGTCCACACTGTAGTCCCTTTAAACAGGGAAGGAGATTTGTTTGTGGCAGTAAAAATCATTTAAAAAGTTGGTTAGATATGTAAGATTCTTTTTCTCAGAAACAACAAGGCCCAGAGAACTGAAACTGTGTGATTGACTGTTTGATTGACTGTTTGATTGATCGATTGTTGTTTAACGCCGCACTCAGCAATATTCCAGCTATATGACGGCGATCTGTAAATAATCGAGTCTGGACCAGACAATCCAGTGATTGACATCATGAGCATCGATCCACGCAATTGGGATACGATGACATGCATCAACCAAGTCAGCGAGCCTGACCACCCGATCCCGTTAGTCGCCTCTTACGACAAGCATAGTCGCCTTTTACGGCAAGTATGGGTTGCTGAAGACCTATTCTACCCCGGGCTTTATGTGTGTTGAAGATATGTAGGACCAGAGTGTGACTTGAATTTGTTTATGACATCAAACAAACACATTCAGTTCTTTTTTTAAATTATAAAGAAAAAAGTAATTCTATAATCAGGAAAATGACCCAGCATTATCTTGTCAGATTCCATCACCGCTTAGGAGCAGGATGTGTTACACAAGACTGCGTTGAGATTTAATCAGGGCATTTAGCTCAAGAAGTAAGCGTTTTAATGAAATTGAATAGGAACATTTTAAGAATATCACAGTTATCTAGCTGAAGCTTTGTAACGATGATATTAAACACACTCATTCAACCGCCAGCAATTATTGGAGATGTTGCGAAAAAACGGTGTATCACATTTCAGGAACTGTTTTACGAAATGCTGTAATATTTTACATGAATGTTAATTTTGTTTACGGCAATGGTCTAGTGGATGGATGTGCTGATTGGGAGTTTGATTGGATCCCAAGTTATAATTAAAATTTACTCCCTCGTGGCTTCAAAGGGGCGATAGGGTAGCCTAGTAGTTCAAGCGTTTGCTCGTAGCGCTGAAGACCTGGGTTCGATTGCCAACACAGAGCTACAGATAAAATATAAAAAAATATTCAAAACCCAATTACTTTCAATTAACTTGCGTACACATACGCATGCATTAAATGAAAAACTCAAATGTATAAAAACAGCACGCGTAAATACCCAATGAAGCTTTTTCAACATGGGTACAAAGGAGCTTATTTCCGAAACACAATTTACTTTACGAGCTAATTTACTTTCCGAGTCAAGCCTATATATTTCGAACAGTTATATACATCTAAAACATTATTTCATTTTTTTAATTCTTAAAATGTTCACTAATTTTGGGAACAACCCAATAGAGCGATGAATAGATGAGTGAAAACATATTGGTTACCCAATGAAAAATGTAATAACCCAATTAAAATAGAAACTCTGGAGTAAAAACTCAATTGCTCAAAAAGTTATCTGGAGCTCTGTCAACATGATAGTTTTTAATCCTTGAAAGGTATCTCCGATCGCCAGTAAAGGCTTTCAGAGCTAAGGTAGTTTCACATGAAGGGATACACTATCGGTTTAAAAAATACGTGCATGTCATTTAATGTGAGTGTCCGACATGTTCACTATGTTGCTGTATTTTTTTATCTACATATGTTTTTTTTTTATGATTTTCTGTTTAGGAAAGCTGACGACGCCATAACTGATGACACAGAGTTCGAAATAACAACCAACGACTTCAAGGATGACGGAGGGCAGGATGAGCACGGGGATGCGCAGGATGGGGAAGAGGAAAGGGAGACAATCCGGGTGGCAAGTCGGAAAAGAGGCAGACCAAGTAATCAGACCAGCACGCGGCCATCTTGTTCATTCCACGACCCGGATGAACCCACGGAGGACAGGCCAACGAAGGTGTACCATAAGCCAATGCTGGCAGCTCCCCAGGAGATGGACGACGTTGAGTCCTTTTTCTTCAGCATGGGTCAAAGCGTCCGTAGTCTGCCGAAACATTTACAGAGTCGGGTGAAGATGAGGGTTTGCCAGGTCGTGACTGAAGCGGAGATGGAGTTCCACACTCCAACTGTTGCAGTTTACAGCGCCGAGCAGACGCTTGATGTCAAACCTGTCATAGACCTGTACCAGACCTCATGAGGGAGCTTCACACACACAGGTCAACATGGCGGCTATCGATACGCGGTACCCGGATGTGTTTCGGGAGAGACGTTTGGATCATGTACGTTTAGATGGTCATCGCCTAAAGATACCCGGATTTACGCCCGGAAAGAGGTTTGGATGACAGAGTCTTCATATTGGTCTGTCAGTGAAGGTTGAGGTCATACTTTTCAATATGGCGGTCGTCGATTCATAGTACCCGGATGTACAGTCGGGATCGAGATTGGATGATTCAGGATAGTTAAAATGGCAGCCGTCGGTAGACGTTATCCGGATGAACGACAGGGATGGAGATTTGAATGATATAGGTTGTTATTTTGTGTGTATTCAAAACGTGTGCACATGTATGTTCGGAACAGATGATGGGTCAACGGTGGTGGACTGAGGATAGCCTCCAGATGCTGTGGCACAGCCTCTCGATCATGCGGCGTAGCAGTCCTGGGGTCCGCTTCACAAAGCGAGCTTAGTGCTACGATTGACGTAAGTGGATGTAGAAGTATGGGACTTATGGTCGTCTCAGCGCTAAGATCGCTTTGTGGAACATGGTGGGTTTCGCAGAGCGAGCATCGTGCTGCGATTGCCGTAACTCGCATATGTTCATCGATGAATGATAGTCGCAGTACCGTGCGATCGCTTTGTGAAGAACCCCCTCTCCTATTCTGTGATGTGATAGAATCCTTGATCCTTCAGTCGCCAATATGGTTACACAAACGGACCTCTGTCGTACAAAATATAGGGTTACATTCTTCTGCCAGTGACACTGCGGGTACTATTAACTCCGGAACATACAGTGACATTTCATTTTCCTATTTTCCTTGTAGATGCGTGCGTCATGCAGCGCTCTCAATAATACATTATTGCCCAGGTTGTGTGTTGGAATATGGCGTTATTATCTAATCTTTCTTTTCGTTCCCCTGAAGTATCAGCTTGGTGGCGATGACACTTGTTTTGTATGTGTCCATATATAAACGATTTAAGGAGTCCAGACGGCCAGTTTGTGGAGTGTTTTCGTGAGTGAGTGAGTTGGGTTTAAAACCGCTTTTAACAGTATTCCAGTTATATCGCGGCGTGTCAGCTTAATGTGGGAGGAAAGCCCGAAGTGATGCAGGTCTCAGACGTTTACCACTTCGGTGAAACCCACGAGCACGGGTATGGTGCTGACAAACCTAGAAACATAATCGGGGCGAACCGGGATTCGAACCCACAATCATAGGTTTCTGGCGTTCCCAAGGGACGCAACTCTGCACAGCGAATCGCGGCGCCTTAGACGACTGGGCCACCCGTGCCCCCTCCAAGTGTTGGCAACGTCCTTGGTAATGTGGGACGGAGACGTGAATAGCAGACTTCCATTGGAAATATGTATCTCGGTGTGATTATGTTGTGTAATTAACAATGTGAATGGCGGGTGTTACACGTGTATATACACAGAACTAATTTGAATAAATAATATATTTTGTACCAGGTTGTTTGTGCCAATAGTTACACCTTTTTGTTTTCCAGCTGATCCTGTACCATTTGGGATTCTGTTTGTTTTACTTGTGCTGAAACCCATGAAGATCCGGTGGAGAATAGGTCTTCAGCAACCCATGCTTGTCGTAAGGGGCGACTAACGGGATCGGGTGGTCAAGCTCGATGCATGTCGTCGATCCCAATTGCGAAGATCGATGCTCATGATGTCAATCACTGGATTGATTGGTCCAGACTCGGATTATTTACAGACCGCCGTCATATAGCTGGAATATTACTGTGTCCGGCGTTAAAAAACGTCAAACTTGGGAGAGATATGACAATCGGTATTGGGAGATAAGGTGCAGATAATCGACGTTCAAATTATGAGTGAGTGAGTGAGTATGGTTTTACGCCGCTTTTAGCAATATTCCAGCAATATCACGGCGGGGGACACCAGAAATGGGCTTCACACATTGTACCCATGTCGGGAATCGAACCCGGGTCTTCGGCGTGACGAGCGAACGCTTTAACCACTAGGCTACCCGACCGCCCTCAAATTATGAGAAAATGCGGGAAAGGCCAAATTATTTCCACCCCCACCCCCCAAAGACTTGTCCGACATTTCCGAGGTCGGATTCCATTCAGGGAGTTATTTTTAAAATACGGGTAAATATGTTTAGAGTTTTGTACATTTTATCACATTATGTTGATAATGCATTTGAGAAAATAACATCTACCACTCGTATATTTCTTAAATATTGTTAAATGAATATACAACAGATAGAATTCAGTTCTTGCATTCTACAAGTTATATCTGTGTTCACAAAACTATTCACCCCTATAACAACTACACAAAACAATACAATACACAACGTACTTATGTTACAGTCAATGTGTGAAATGAATGAAATTTTCACTTGGGCAATTTACAAACGCAAAACTATTTCAGTTAGTTTACAAATATTTTTCAGTTAGATTGCCGATCATTTTCAGCCACTGGGTGATGAAAAAGAGTATAAAAATGTTTGGAATTCGTTATCATAACATAATAAATTGCAAAATAATGGCACAATAACTGAACTATTTGGGCATTTTATAAATTGCCTTAGTGAAAATGTAATTCGTTTTACACATTGCCTGTAGTGAGTGAGTTTAGTTTAACGCCGCTTTTAACAGTATTCCTGTTATATCGCGGCGTGTCAGCTTAATGTGGGAAGAAAGCCCGAAGTGTTGCAGGTCACAGACGTTTACCACTTCGGTGAAACCCACGAGCACGGGTATGGTGCTGACAAATCTAGAAACATAATCGGGGCGAACCGGGATTCGAACCCACAATCATAGGTTTCTGGCGTCCCCAAGGGACGCAACCCTGCGCAGCGAATCGCGGCGCCTTAGACGACTGGGCCACCTGTGCCCCCACACATTGCCTGTAACATACATTTATACTATAGATTGGTGCGTTTTAGAATCCTAGTGTCTCCCCGATTATGAAATCAACGCGGAGAACGTCTTTGACATGGATTACTTTGGTATTTCTTCCCAACTGAGGCTATGGTGTGAGTAAATACGGTCAAGCAGCGTTAAACCACAAGTCCCTCACTCACTCGAACCGACAGACTGGTGCAGGCGTATGACATTGCTAATGCCAGCGATGTTGACTGCTACAGTGAAGTCGACTAACTCCGCTCCTGTTCATCTTCCAAAGGCAAGGTAGTTAACTGACTGTAAAAGTCCAGTTTCCACCCTTGCCGAACTAGGCTTGAATTATTTTGGCTGGACTAACGAGTTTATGCATAGTCCAATCAAAATCGCGTTATGAAATCGACACCCGGTTCGTAAACTGCCGTGCAGATTTCGGTCGATTGTAGGATTTGCAAATCATGTGTAGTGTCAAACTAATCGTCAACAGATATTTTCCAAATGTATTTCATCTTTTTTAATCAAGGTGCTCACGTGATTTGATGCATTTTGCGAAGTAAAACCCTTTTTGATGACAATATAGATGAGATCGTCTTCACTGGGTGACGCCATTTTAATTGAAGCAATGCAAGTTTGTTTGTTTGTTTTATGTTTAACGTCGCACTCAGCAATATTCCAGCTATAGTCGAGTCTGGCCAGACAGTCAAGTGGTTGACAACATGAGCATCGATCCACGCAATTGGGATCGATGACATGTATCTACCAAGTCTGCGAGCCTGACTACCCGATCCCGTAAGTCACCTTTTACGGCAAGCATTGGTTGCTGAAGACCCGTTCTACCCCGGATCTTCACGGGCCTGCAAATGCAACTGATGCGAGAGGTGGAATCTGATTGGTCAATAGAAGGGACATAACTCATAACAGCAACTGTTGGCGCTACGGTCGAGCCTAGTTCGGCAAGTGCGGAAAGTTACCTCCCTTGCCTCGGCAAGATGGCCACTGTTATGTTAATAACAACATGACCGCACAGCAAACAAGGAAGATTACTACAAATCATGTTTATTCCTTTTAACACTACAGGCCTCACACCTTCAAGAGAGACTGTTCCATGGCGCCCCTGTCTTGATGTAGTCAGATGTACCTTCTAGATATCTTAATTACTTACAAACATGGATACCACTTGCAAATAACATTTTATACTATACTCACCGCCGAAAGAAATGCGAACCATAGAAACATATAGAGAAGTATGTACGTTAAGAAGAGGTGTTTCCAACGTGTACCAATCTTTTAACGACAAAAGTAATAATCAGTCAAGTGTTACGACAGAGTGTCCTCAGCGATCCCAGTTGCTTGGATCGATGCTCATGATGTCACTCACTGGATTGTCTGGTCCAGATTCGATCGTCATGTAGCTGGAATATTGCTGAGTGCGGCGTTAAACAACAAACCAAAACCTTATTTTTTATTACTATATGCTGTGATTTCCAAACTGTACACGCTAATTCTGAACGAGACAAATGGTGCATCTCGAGGCATGGATCTATGACGTCACACGTGACGCCTTCAGGAGCGTCGGTTCACAGAATATACCAGTATGTTTGTTTGTGCATCGAACCATAATATCTCTTGAATATTGGAAAGTCTTCAAATATCAACCATGTATGGTATTCGCGTTTCTTTTGGAGGTGAGTATTATCAACAGTACTCTATCGCAAGTGTATTGCCACATAACTTAATTTAATGTTTATTGTCCATTTAAAGCTGTTTTTTTCATAAAGGTGTACATGTGTCATCCATTGTTTATTTAGCGCATTACCATCAAGAAATTAATATGAAATATGTACCTTTTTAAGAAACAAGTATGCACCATGGTTGTGTGTAATTTGGGCAATCGATAACTGTTTGATCGATATACAACAAAATTTGAACGAGCGGGAAACAATGAATGACTTGAATGTCCCGAGGTTTGACCTTCAATAGTTCGCCATGTACTCGTATAAAATGTGAAGGAAAAACAATGTATGACAAACAAAGACGATCTTGTCAAAACATGGAGCTCAGTTACAGAGGTGTTGCGTTACTTTTAGCATTATGCCAGTCACGTGACAGTCTGGGGACACTATTGTACCCATGCTGGAACCAAAACCGGGGATTCGGCGTGACGAGCTAATGCTTTAACCGTTGGACTACCCCACCGCTCCGACGAAACTACCAATCAGCTGTTAATGTCTGCTTACCCACCGACCCTGGGCTGTGAGTATATATGTATTTTCAAGTCTTCCTCAGATTACGTTGTTATGATTAGGTCAAAATAGAAATTAAATTACCTTTATATCAGCAGCTTCAGAAATAGTTCGCCCAAACCTGTAGACGATACAGTTACATAGATACATAACGCCATTATCAGGATCAAGCTACCTTATGTACTCCATCTACATCTTCATATCACCATGACGACACCCTGTTAGTCCGGAAACCACGCCCCCCGGGTGTATGACCTTACTGAGTGACCTTAATCCGGACACTTGTTAATCCGGACGGTTTCAATAATTACGCACCGTCCGGATTGACAGGGTTTTACTTTCAAAGCAACCGGTCAAAGTACATGTGATGTGTCCTGGGTATACGTAATGACGCCCCTGTGTTGTATAGTCACGTTGCCAACTTCAATCGTCCGGATTGCGATTGGTCAGAATAACGGGGGTCCGGACAAACGAGAGTTCAGAATAGCGGGGTCCGGACAAACGAGATTTCACTGTATATACTAAGACAACAGATTCTGTGTAACACGCAGTTTCATTAAACTGACGGTTGTGCCTGTGATTCGTTGCGACATTTTCAGAGAAACAGGAATTACCCTTGCGGTCACCGTTGCCGGTCTATCGGTGTTGAGAATTTAAAAGATAGAAGAAAATACAGCAAAGACCTTTTTCTGAAACAGATAGGATACTCTCAACTCAGGCGAACGATTGAGTGGGGAAAAAAACTTCGTTATCGTTGAGAGGGACGGTTATAACGGAGTGGTGTAGACGGGGAGAACACAAAACATACAGACGGCCTAACTATCTCCACACCGCCGCTATCGTCAGTCAGAGACACGTGGCCTGCTCACAGTTTTCTATTGTTGCGCTGACGTCAATCGTCACGCTGGTGCATTTCAAATTGAAAGAGGCAACTGGGTCATTGATGGTTATGTAACTTAGTTTGGTAGTTAATTTAATTTCGAATCAGATAAAATTACCCTTTCTTTGACTCTACATGTTCAAACACGCCGATATTGACAAACATTTATGTTCTTGAATAAAAGACAATATGAGCATGCAACCCATTTGAAAATAGACCCGTTGCGATCTATCAGTGTTACGTGACGAATTAAAACCAAAAAAGCAGGCACAGACGAAAACAGGCTATCACGAAATGTTTGACACAGCCTAGTTTAGATCCGAGGTTTGACGTGTATGTACAGCGATCAAACAGGCCCCTCCACAGTCAAACACTGTCTTTACAACTGTGCTGCGTCTGTGTTTCTTATTGCGGGGTTTGTTGTGCAAAATGTCTGCATCAAACAGTTTATGAACGTAAAAAACTCAATCTTTAAATAGTCCACAATACACTCATGACACACTCTCCAGAGCACGTGTGCACGTGCAATGTCGTCGCAATTCCCGCCCACATATTGTGTCGCTCACTGAGATCGTCACGTGATCCTTATCTGACGAAAGTACACAATGTCAAGGTCAGTTGATGTCTTCGATCACAACTTCCGGTGGTTTCCCCGACAAGTCCCACGGCGCGTCCCTGAACTCAGTCCGGTCGATTCGCTCATTACCTGAAACAGACGTTCATTTTAACATTAGACCGATATCAGTGTTGTACAGAAATATTTTAATAAGTCATGAACGAGGAGTGTCTACGCCGAATTTAGCAATAGTCCACTGATACTTCCCAAATAAGACACAACTGGGTTTTTTAAACCATAAAATCGCTATAAATTTGTTGTACAATACAATGCGACAATCGGCATCACACATTGCTCTAATATGATATATACAATTGGGGCGCAAGTGGTTGTGAATGGGTCGCAAAGAGTTTGGGGAGAAAAAAACAAATGGACAACGTCCCCCTTGGGTGAACACATTTGTTTACTGGATGTTCTAAAAAGGTGTGTGTTGTGGGTGAATACACACACACTAACACACACACACACACTAACACACACAAAACACACACAAAACACACACACACTAACACACACACGCGGACGCACGCACGTACGCACACACACACACACACGGACATTCAACTCAACAGTTGACGAACCTTCAAGTGTACCCAGATACTTTGTACTGACTTTACCTATGATTTACCGTGTATGGTGCATGTTACAATATATTCATGTTTGAACACCACGCTCGAACTATTTGTAAGTCATGCATTTTAAAACATGTTCATCAGCGTATTTATATATCTTTCATGCATAACACAAATTCCCCCTCTTTTTACCCCAGAGCCTCACATCGCAAAACCTATCGTTTACAACACAAACACATCAACAAGACGAAAGTGTGTTTATGTATGCGTAAACTCGGGCAACGTTGAAAGAATTGATTGATGTTTTCAGCAAGAAATGTGATTTGTTTAACGCAAATGTGCGAAACGCTTAAGCGAATGTATTTCAAATTACACAGATTGTTAGCAGTTGGTAAACATTATCTATTACACAACATTTCACCTATGATGGGGAAGTAATAATCTCTTTGATGATTGCAGGAGGTACGCTCATCGTCAGGTTTTGTATTGCTGGGCAGTTTTTGAAGCAAGTATCTGAGAAAATGCCCTAAGAATGTCTCCCTTTGGCACTTCCTATGAATCATGTCGCTCCCATTGACCCGCGATGTCATAAACGGCAAACGTTGCGCATAAAACAACAGTTGTTTATTTGATGTCAAAACGTTTGGTGCCGGATCGTTGTTAAAGAGGGTTGCTTCCTTAGATTCTGTTCTCGCGTCACCTATCGCTCCTCCTTATTGTACTTCTCATGTTTACACTTGTGTGATGATGAATGGTTGATTTACTGGTATGCTGATTGATATTCAATGGTTGAATATATAGTGTATTAACTCGGATACAATATATCGATATATGGTCGTTATATGGTCTCTGATTAACATGACAAATAGTCAGTGGTTGAGTATATAGTGTAATAACACGTCTAATAGTTGATGGTTGAATATATAGTCTATTAATAACTAATGACTAATAGCCATTGAGACACGTGAAGATCCGGGTAGAGAATAGGTCTTCAGCAACCCATGCGTGTCGTATGAAGCGTCTAACAGGATCGGGTGGTTAGGCTCGCTGACTTGGTTGATGCATGTCATCGTATCCTAATTGCGTAGATCGATGCTCGTGATGTCAGTCACTAGATTGTCTGGTCCAGGCTCGAGAATTTAGAGACCGCTGTCATATAGCTGGAATATTGCTGAGTGCGGCGTTAAAAAAAACAATCAATTAATCAAACATATATTCAAAAAGTTTCATCTCTCTCGGCCGTGTTGTGTCAGAGAATAAATAACATGACTAACAGTCAACGGTGGAATATACAGTATGTTAACAAGACGAATAGAAAAACGATAACACGAAGAGAAAACCCAGCAGAATAGTGTAGTCGTGAGCGAACTGTAGGACGTATCTCAGAGAGACAGAATATCAGAATGCTTTGTCGCGACTATTATCTCGTACAACAAGTCATACAGAATCTCATACGTAGGTAGTGAGACAGATTATCAGAATACTTTGTCGCGACTGTGACCTCGTACAGCAACTCATACAGCATCTCATACGAAGGTAGTGAGACAGAATATCAGAATACTTTGTCGCGACTGTGATCTCGTACAGCAACTCATACAGCATCTCATACGAAGGTAGTGAGACAGAATATCAGAATACTTTGTCGCGACTGTGACCTCGTACAGCAACTCATACAGCATCTCATACGAAGGTAGTGAGACAGAATATCAGAATCCTTTGTCGCGACTGTGATCTCGTACAGCAACTCATACAGAATCTCATACGAAGGTAGAGAGACAGAATATCAGAATACTTTGTCGCGACTGTGATCTCGTACAGCAACTCATGCAGAATCTCATACGAAGGTAGAGAGACAGAATATCAGAATACTTTGTCGCGACTGTGATCTCGTACAGCAACTCATACAGAATCTCATACGAAGGTAGTGAGACAGAATATCAGAATACTTTGTCGCGACTGTGATCTCGTACAGCAACTCATACAGAATCTCATACGAAGGTAGAGAGACAGAATATCAGAATACTTTGTCGCGACTGTGACCTCGTACAGCATCTCATACAGCGTCTCATACGAAGGTAGAGAGACAGAACATCAGAATACTTTGTCGCAACTGTGACCTCGTACAGCATCTCATACAGCGTCTCATACGAAGGTAGAGAGACAGAATATCAGAATACTTTGTCGCGACTGTGACCTCGTACAGCATCTCATACAGCGTCTCATACGAAGGTAGAGAGGCAGAATATCAGAATACTTTGTCGCAACTGTGACCTCGTACAGCATCTCATGCAACATCTCATACGAAGGTAGAGAGACAGAATATCAGAATCCTTTGTCGCGACTGTGATCTCGTACAGCAACTTATACAACATCTCATACGAAGGTAGAGAGACAGAATATCAGAATACTTTGTCGCGACTGTGACCTCGTACAGCAACTCATACAGAATCTCATACGAAGGTATTGAGACAGAATATCAGAATACTTTGTCGCAACTGGGATCTCATACAGAAACTCATACAACATCTCGCGCAGCAATTCCTACAGCATCTCCTCCAGCAACCCCTACAACATCTCGTACAGAAACTCGCACATTAATTCGTAAAACACCTCGTACAACATCTCCTACAGCAACTCCTATAACATCTCGTACAGCATATCGTACAGCAACTAATACAGCATCTTGTACAACATTCCCTACAGAATCCCGTACAGCAACTCCTAGAGAATATCGTACAGCAACTCCTACAGAATATCGTACAACAACTCCTACAGAATATCGTACAGCAACTCCTACAGAATCTTGTACAACATTCCCTAGAGAATATCGTACAGCAACTCCTACAGAATATCGTACAACAACTCCTACAGACTCTCGTACAGCAACTCCTACAGAATCTCGTACATCAACTCCTACAGAATCTCGTACAATATCTTCTACAGACTCTCGTACAGCAACTCCTATAGAATCTCGTACAATATCTTCTACAGACTCTCGTATAGCATCCCCTACAGAATCTCGTACAATATCTTCTACAGACTCTCGTACAGCAACTCCTACAGAATCTCGTACACTATCTTCTACAGAATCTCGTACAGCAACTCCTACAGAATCTCGTACAATATCTTCTACAGACTCTCGTACAGCAACTCCTACAGAATCTCGTACAATATCTCCTACAGACTCTCGTTCAACAACTCCTACAGAATCTCGTACAATATCTTCTACAGACTCTCGTACAGCAACTCCTACAGAATCTCGTACAATATCTTCTACAGAATCTCGTACAGCAACTCCTACAGAATCTCGTACAGCAACTCCTACAGAATCTCGTACAGCAACTCCTACAGAATCTCGTACAATATCTTCTACAGACTCTCGTACAGCAACTCCTACAGAATCTCGTACAATATCTTCTACAGACTCTCGTACAGCAACTCCTACAGAATCTCGTACAATATCTTCTACAGACTCTCGTACAGCAACTCCTACAGAATCTCGTACAATATCTTCTACAGAATCTCGTACAGCAACTCCTACAGAATCTCGTACAATATCTCCTACATAATCTCGTACAGCAACTCCTACAGAATTTCGTACAATATCTTCTACAGAATCTCGTACAGCAACTCCTACAGAATCTCGTACAATATCTCCTACAGAATCTCGTACAGCAACTCCTACAGAATTTCGTACAATATCTTCTACAGAATCTCGTACAGCAACTCCTACAGAATCTCGTACAATATCTTCTACAGAATCTCGTACAGCAACTCCTACAGAATCTCGTACAATATCTCCTACAGAATCTCGTACAGCAACTCCTACAGAATCTCGTACAATATCTTCTACAGAATCTCGTACAGCAACTCCTACAGAATCTCGTACAATATCTCCTACAGAATCTCGTACAGCAACTCCTACAGAATATCGTACAATATCTTCTACAGAATATCGTACAGCAACTCCTACAGAATCTCGTACAATATCTCCTACATAATCTCGTACAGCAACTCCTACAGAATCTCGTACAATATCTCCTACAGAATCTCGTACAGCAACTCCTACAGAATCTCGGTAGGTAAGTTGCAGCAGCAAGATCATATTATGGGGCAAAACGGATTTGCAGGCATTTTTGCTCAAGTTATATTATTTTGTTTTATTTTGTTCATCACATACTGAAGAACCAGAATTCCATTGAGTCCAATTTTTGGACGCCATGATGGCAGCCATCTTAGATATCAACAAGAGTCATCAGAAAGATGACATATCCCCCCGGCAACTGTCTGTAAAGTAACCACAAGTAAATGTGCAATTCTGTATGTAATGAGGCAACAGTTGAATGTTCTTTAAGAAGCATACATTGTTTACCAACAAAAGATCCACCATGGTCGCATCCATATGAAATGGAAAGTAAAACATGTGTGTTTCTGTGGGTTTTTTTTATGCAAACAAATGACAAATTACAAGAAACAATAACTAAACAAGCCTATAGTCAACGAAGTCATCTATATCCC